GGCGAGTCCCGCTCCAGCAGCGGTCGCGGTGCTGAGGCGGATGGGTGGCAGAGCTCCTTCATCTGTGCCGCCAAAGGTATTTTTGTGTCAAAAGGCTGGCTCCGCTGCAGCGTGTCCAGCTCCATAGGAAGTGCTGGTGGAAAGCTTCGTTCCCAAACATTCACTATTTGTTGCCACTTGCAGCAGCCTTACGTGTGGCACAGTTAATTGTGTGCCGGCAGCGAGGGCTGCTGCGCCTGGTGAGCGGTGCTTTGTGCTCTCCACACGCGTGCCGGCTGCTGCAGGCTCGCCAGGGCGCTTGAACCGTGGGCTGTGCTGCCAGGTGTCCTCTGGTGGCATCGGCTGTGACTGGGGACAGCTGTGCTGATCGCCCTCTTATACGGTTGTGTGCTTAACTTACAACTTGGTGCAGACCGGGCTGTTATCGAAACTGAATGAAGTAGAGGTTCTGTTCAAATGATAACAAATAATAAATTTCCTGAGAACTTGAGGAAGAAGGGTGTAAAGTTTCACATGTGTGGGGCTTTTTTTTGTAAATCAAGACTGTAACATGGCTTTGTTTATACATTAGGAAAATTTAATCATGTTATAAGATAACATACACTTTCTCACTTTTTGTGTTGCTATTAGCTGTTGCTTTCGCTCAGGAATTTGAGCTGCAGCTTGAGAGCTCTACTGTAGTTTATGCATGGCACTTTCCATAATGTCAATATAAGCATTTATTATTGCCCTTATTTTTGGTTAGAAACAAACCCTATGTAATTCCTAGTACCTTTTATTTATAGGGTTTAGCAGATACGGCTAAAAAAAACTTTGGTGGTGGAAACACTGCTTGGGAAGAGAAGACGCTGTCAAAGTACGAGTCCAGGTGAGCTGTCTCAGTGCTTCTCATTCAGCTGCTTTTTGTGTTCACTGTGTGTAACTTCACTATAGCAGTGTTTGTTTGGAACTAAGTATTGAACTTGGCAGCTAAGGTTTCTCTTGTCCAAACCTTAAATTCTTAATGATTATAGTGTTACATAGCATTGTAATCTAAAGATTATAATAAAGACTCAATGCCTTATTATTTCCTCTATTCATCCTGTTTCTGAAAAGTACAAAAGTTAATTCTGTTATTGTTATCATCTTATTGCAAAGCTCCCGTACCTTCTCGGTGATTTCTCATGGTCAGCTTCTCACAGCACAGCCAACAAACTCCAACTCCTTTCTCACCCAGCTAAGCCACTCTTTTGTAGCACTTGTCTTCTTATTGGACACAGCTGTGGCCTATTAAGGGCAGGCCTGTTCCTAATCTTTGCTGATTGGCACAGCTGCAACTCCTCAGGTGTGAGACTGCCCTCTGCACTATCTTCATTTTCTTACCTTCTATCCCTCCATATGTTATTAGTTATAGTAGGGTTTTTTTCTATTTACCTATTCAAGTCATAAAATAATGAATCTAGTAATGATCAATATTTTATTGCTAATCATAAAAGGTACAGAGTACTGAAATACTTGATTTAGAATTGAAGGCAGTATCTTCAACCTAGAGTTGTCACTGTTTCAGTGCCAAAGAGAAGGCAGATTAGTGTACATATAGCTGGTTAACCATGGAAAAAAGTAACCTGATACCTTTCTCCTGCATTTCAAATTCATTTTTTTATCTTAGTTGGAGCACTGAGATGTTGCTGTGAGATTCACAGGCTTGTGTCAAATAAAAATACATTAAATTTATTGCTGAACATTGAAGTAGTGCACTCCAATTTTCTGGGAAGCTGAAAATATATCAAATCTACAATCTAGAAATGTAGTAAACGCAAGCAAGTCACAACATTCTTGTGGTCGTTATTCTCGGTTTGGCTTTCTTTTTTGACCGAAGTAATGTTTATTAGTTCTTTACTCTGATGTTTTGAAATTAATTCAGGCCACCCCATAAACTGAAGAAATATTCTCACTGAAGTCTGGCTGCTCTGTCAGGTCTTGAGTTGTATTGAACATTTAAATTAAATTTACAGTTTTCCTTCTCTGCTTGTAGTGAAATTCGTCTTGTGGAGATCATAGAGAATCTGTGTGACAGCAGTAACTTTGAATGTAACAACATGGTAGAAGAACATGAAGAGCTGATAGAGAAATGGTGGTTCAAATTGTAAGTATCATTTCCTTGGTGGAGATCTTTGTGTGAATAAATTGTCTAAGAGGATGACCTAATAATGTTAAGTCTTGTGCCTGAACAATAGCAGTATGGGTAATTTATTCATTGTCTTTCAAGAGTTGCCATTGGGTACAGCTGGTTTCAGGCTAACTTTTAGTGTCATGTGCTGCTGGCCTGTGTTCTTTTGGATTTTCAGTTCCAGCAGTGCTGCACCAAAGCATCTACACTTGTTTCATATACACTGTCCACTTAGTAGTAGACAGAAGGGTGTCAAGGCAAACTGACATTGGAAAATTTTGAAGTTTAGTTCCTTATGTTTTCCTTTGTCACAAAACTGCAGAGGGCTCTTTGGTTCTTGTGGGTTTTTTGTTTGCTTGCTTTTTTTTCCCTGAAACTACAATTTTGTTCTTCTGGCAATCAAAAGAATAGTTGGTGCTAATCAGGGTAGAAGTTGAATCTCTTGCAGATGGTGGAGTGGCAGCTGACTTTTTTACCTGCAATTTAAGCTAGACTGGAATTTGTGTTATAGCTAAGCTTTTTGTATACCAGTCTTAAATATAATTAGTGCATGAATGGCAGTGTAACATTTAGATTTCTTAATGTTTGGGGTTTTTAGTTTAAAATCATATTTCTTGTAAGTATTTTTCACTAATTTAAACTGTCAGCACTCCTAATTAGCTAGAATTCAACAGGGTAAACTGCTTTATAATGTGTCATAACTGGATAAGGCTTTTTGTTACTCTGCTTTCTTCTAAATGACTGCTTTATCCTTTTACCTAAGTATACAGGATTGTATATGTGTTAACCTGAAGTGAAGGGAATAGAGTAGAATAGCAGAGCAGGAAATAGAATATTTCAGTTGGAAGGAAGCTAAAATGATCACTTAGTCCCACTGCCTGACTGCTTCAGGGCTGATAAAAAGTTAAAGCATCTTGTTAAGGGCATTGTGTAACCACTCCTAAAGCACTGATAGGCTTGGGGCCTCCACCACCTCTCTAGGAAACCTGTCCCAGTGTTTGATCGCCCTCTTGGTAAAGAAATGTTTCCTGATGTCCAGTCTGAACCTCTCCTGGTGCAGCTGTGAACCTTCCCCTGTGTCCTGTCATCAAACACAGCAGAGATCGGCACCTCCTTCTCCCCTTTCCCTCCTCAGGAAGCTGCAGAGGGCAATGAGGCCACCCCCTCCTCCTCCTCCTAGACAAGCACAGAGTCCTTAGGTGCTCCTCATAGGACATGCCTTCCACAAAGGTAAACTATGCAACCCAGAGTCTTTAATTGGGTGAAAATTTGCAGAACTTAACTAGAAAATTTGGCATAGTAAACTTCCTAAAATAATAAAAACAATTAATAAAATACATTGGGTTTGGAAAGTGTCTGTATTTTACAGACCATTTGAGTGCATGCAATTGATTGTTTGCCTTCCTTTCTTTAACCTGCAGTATCCAAATGTCGTTCAGTTTCTGTGATAGTTTCCAAAGACAGTTTCTTTGCCCATGAATACCTTAGGCATTTTTACAAGTTGTTCCATAAAGGGTGATCGATCACTGGAACAGGTTCCCCACAGCATCAAGCCTGTCAGAGTTCAGGAATCATCTGGAGGACTCTTGCTCACACAGTTTAGTGTAGGAAGTCCTGTGAGGAGCAGGGAGCTGGACTCAATGAATTGGGGCTGTATTCGGGTGTTCAAGTAGCACATAACTAACTTCTTAATTTTAAAAATGTCTTCTAAAATAGTACTCGATCAATGCCAAAAACAGGAGAAATTTTAACCCAGTCATCAAGTAGCCAAGTAGTCTTCTGTATACTTGAGATAAAAATGCAGCAAGTATTTATAAGAGAAAGACTTAATTAAGACTGTCTAAACTGTATCTAAACCTTCCCTAAAAGTAAGGTGTTTAAAAAAAGATGTGTGTGTATGTATGAAGAAGAATTGATTTTATTTGTTGCTCTTATTTAACTTTTTTCCTAAATATAATTTATAAAATTTGAGTAGAGCTTGATAATAGTATTGTATTTTTAAAAGGGACATTTTCAAATTGGAGGACTTCTAGAAATTGATTCCTGAAATCTTCAGAAGGATTAGATTTCTAATCTGTCATGTGCAATAGGTTTCTCTCCTGTGTTGTGCTGGGTCAGTTGTGTGAGCTGGCTTTTAAAGAATCTTTGTTCTTTTTGTTTGTAAATGAATATCTTTCATATACAGAAAGAAGAAGTACCCAGATTTGTTTAAGTGGTTTTGCATTGAAACAATAGAAGTTTGCTGCCCTGCTGGAACTTATGGACCCGATTGTCTCGGTAATTTTTCTTCTGAAAAATTCAGTAGCAGATACAGTTTGTATCTGTTGTACAGTTTTTTTACCTGTTTGTTTCAGTCCTTACTGTCACAGACAAACACATGATGTATGATATTTTGCATGAGACACAGGCTGCTGTGTAGTATGTACCTGCTTGCTGCCTCATGGTTGATTTGCTGCCTTGGGAATATCCTGCCTGAATAAAAGTCTTCTGGGCATGTAGTAATGTACTGAGCTGTTGGGGTACCAAGATGTGCAGAAACAATCAATCTGATGCTAATATCCACACCTGACCCATCCTTAAAGGCTCTCTGTAACATGAAGTCTGTCGTTAAGGTGGCCTTGCAGAATCTGTGTAGACAAGAATCCTTGACCAGTTTCAGAGTAAAACAACGCAAATGCTGCTGGGGTTTAAGTGAACTTGCAGCTGAGGATCAGTTAAAAAGGCAATGAGAAAAACTGGGTAGAAGTTGGTGGGAGATGAAAGTAAGGTCTTTGCAAAAGTGATGAGAGATATCTTGGCCTCTGAAGCTGTTAAAATTTATAAATCTCTAAAACTTCACACCTTATTAAGAGATTGATTTTGGCCACTTAGTATATTTGTAAAAATTAAGTCCCCATTCCCTATATTGATCTAAATGATAGCTGGTAGATTTTTACAAATGTAATGTGAGCCTTCTCATATTTTTCTCATACAGAAAAAATAAAGATACCAATTTTATCCAGGAAGCTCGGAAAATAAATAAAATTTTGAGCCATGGTCTTTATCCAAAATCAAATTGATAACTGAACTTTCCTGGAGATTGCTTTGAGTTTCCCTTATGCTTGAATATATTATTAAGCATTGCCTTACTGCAAAACTTTTAGTTATTCTCAAGGGTGAAAAAGACTCTTGGAAATTATATCTTACTTTAGTGTGACAATTTAAAATTAATTCTTATTTTATTTTCTGTGAAGAAGGAGGGACTTTGGGTGCTTGTGTCTCAAAGTAGAAAGTTATTTCCTTAAACATCTGATTTAAAAATACCTTTGATTGTTTTTTAGCTTGTCGTGGCGGATCAGAAAGACCTTGCCATGGAAATGGCCACTGTGATGGGGATGGTACCCGAGGCGGGGATGGCTCATGCAGCTGTAAGAAGGAGTACACAGGACAGTTTTGTTTGGACTGTTCTAGTGGTTACTTCAGTTCCTTGAGAAACGAGACACATTCTGTTTGTACAGGTAACAAAGTCTTAACACATGCTTATATCTTTGTGTTACTGCTTCAGTTTTTGCAAGCAAAACTAGAAACATTTGAAACTAACAAATGTAGAAACAAAACACAATTTGGCCAGCTTTAAGCATAAAAGACTTTTTTGCTTTGACAGTCACTTTAGTGGAATTCTAAGATTCTGCTAAGTCATCTTTCCACACTGCCTTTGGTTTTTAAATTGTTTTTTTCTGCTTTAAGAAGAATTCATAAATATCTCTGCTTCTCTGTTTCCAAAGTACTGCTGAAATCTTGAGCTGAAATGACTACATACTGGAGTGCTTTAAAAGCTAGGTTTTCCTCATGTCTCAGATAAGCTTAAATGGAATAAATAGAAACAGTTAATCTGTACTGCAGACTACTTAAATTGCATTTAGATATGCCTAAGTTTAGTTTTGAAACAAAGTCAGGTCATAGGAATAAAATTTTGAGTTGGTCAAATTTTCAATTCTTATTAGACCCTTGATTAGATTCTGCAACAGCTATATCCCGACCCTGGGGTCTAATAAGATTGTTTTTAAGTAGTCTATATTGTTGTTTGGTTTTTTTTAAATCTGGTTGTGTAGTAATTCTTTATGATTTGTTTTAGATGACAATATATAACGTACAAATGTTACATAGGGTGTGTTATTTATGTATATTTTATATATATGTATACAATATGCAGCTGGATTTCTAGTATAGTTCCATCTGAATTCTTCAGAATTAAATCACTTCACACATTGCTCTCATAGCTAGTTGCAAATGTAAGTTGTGTGAGGATTCATTAGGTGGAGAAGTTTGATGTTTAAACTCATGTCCCAGCCTTGAGGGGCTAAGTTTGCCTTCCTGATCTCCTATTGGACCTGCCACTTCTAGTCACTAGAATTTCATGGCAGTGTTTTCAGTGGTGCAAATAACTGTAATTGCTAGGTTTGGTTTCTGGTGGCATTTTGGGATTTTGCAGTTGTTTTGGTGGGATAGCTGCATGTTTCTAAATTAAATCTTGATCTTATGGAGTTACTGTCTGTGAATGGGAGTTTCAAGCTCGTAAAAAATGATGACTTCCACTGAATCCTAAATAAAGTTTTCTGTGAGAGTTTGTGTGTCCGAACTTGTTTTGGGATCTCTCAGCAAAACTCAGGTTGAAGTTTTCTCCTCTCAGCCTGCCATGCTGCCTGTAAGACTTGTACTGGTTCGAGTAACAAGGACTGCCAAGATTGTAAAGAGGGCTGGATTAAAAGTGAAGATGGAGCTTGTGTGGGTGAGTAATGCTTAGCAGTCTTTAAACAGGTTTTGCAGTAACACTGGCTAGTAAGATTAGATGGCATCACTTCCAAGTTTTATTGTATTTTATGGAAATGATCTGTCAGTTTAGATTTCTACAGTTTTATTAGTCTCTCTCTTCCTCACTTATTTCATATTGCAGGAAAGCAGTATTTTCTCACCACTGATTGCCTGGTGATGATAGTTACCTTTATCATACTGTTCTGTATGTCTTTTTAGTTTAATGGGATTCATAGAGCAGCAAGTGGGGTGTTTCTTTTTAGACCTGAGTTTTCTTGGTGTTTATTTGTATGCTAAACAATATCCTGCTTCTGACTTCAGCTATTTTGTCAATTAGTAGAAGATTCGTATAGACTTAACTACATATTTTGTACTAATTGCACATTTACCTTCACATAACTGTCATAAATGCTCAACCCTAATAGAGTTCAAACATTTCACTAAAATCCATGCATGCTGACTTTTCCTGTTGTTGGACAGAAATACTGGGAGACATCAAGATCAGTGGTTCTGTTAATTTCTTACCTATTTCTGTCTTAGCAGTTAAGTTGGGTTATGAGGAGATAAATGTGAAATACTTCAGGAAAAATTCAAACACTAATAAAAATACTCCCAATGCAGGAATGCACTAGGGGAGAGTAACACATTCTGTTTAAGTTTTTGAATTTGACCCTTTAAAGACCTCTAACATAATGCCCGGAAACAGGGTCTTAGAAATTATGTGAACAGTGCTTCCTTTTCAAAGTTCCAGTGAGAGCTGGTTTTAAATTACAGCTCTTGCAATACCTGCTTAGGCAACTACTGAGCACTCCCAGGGCAGTTTTAAGATGCTCTGGTACTGTCTTCTGTGTTTTTACAGATAATTATTGCCACTAATGAACTATTAATCAATTGAGTAATCAGTAGGAATGATGGGTGCAGCAGCAGGAAGAGTGACAGCAATGACAGGAGGAGAGGGACTGAAATAGCCTTTCTTTGTTTGAATTTTTTAATGAAATACTGTTGCACCCTTTCCTCAAAATCATAAGGCTTGCATGTTTTAACTCTGCAGTAGAATTGGTTTTCAGCTTGATTAGTCCTAATCATAACTTGGTTTGTTCCAGTTTGCTTTCTGTAGAATACTAAGAGGTACATGTATGTGCAATAGTACATGTTTTTAGTCATATAAAAAGCTCTGTAACTTGATAGTGGAGGAGTACAGGAGAAAATAGTGTTCCAGAACAATAGTGTGTCTGCTTGTTTGTTATGATATCTGCATAAATGCATGACTTGAAAATGGCAAGGATTGCAGGTATCTTGGAAGTTTATTTAATTTGACCTTTTGAATTTCGGATACATCTCTTATTGTCATCACAAATATATGAGGATCAGTTTTGATTTTCTAGTACAGGTTTAAGCTGAACAAAACTGTGTCTGTTACCGTGCTAGTTCTGTGTCTCCCATGTTGCACCTGACCCCAAACTCATTGCAACAGCTATTCTCAGTGCAGTCAGTTTATAGCATTCAAGTATTCATCTGTCTATCTAATCATAACTACTATTTTAGGTAACTTGTCACTTTTTATCTTTCAGATTTAGATGAATGTGTTGCTTCTCCTTGCAAAGATCACCAATATTGTTTGAACACAGATGGATCTTTCTCATGCAAAGGTTTCTTTTCAATCTTTTGTTGTATTGTGCTGTCTAGAATCCTAAACTAATGCTAGAGGTAATGCTTAGAAAGTGCCTGATAGGTATTTGGTGCAGTGTGGTCTGATCCTCACTGGGCATGGGATGAGGCTTTAGACCGATTGTATGAGCAAATAAAGAGATTTCTGGTTATTTCTACTTGGCTTTTGTGAGACACTCCGGCTCTGGGGCCTCCAGCATAAGGCAGGCGTGGACTTGCCTGAGTGGGTGCAGAGGACAGCTGTGAAAATCTTGATTAAGAGGGTCACCTTCCCAATGAGGACAAGCTGAGAGAGCTGGCATTGTCCATTCTGATCAAGAGGAGGTTCCAGAGCCTTTCAGTACCTAAAGAGTTCTACAACAAAGGTGGAGATGGACTCTTTACAGGGGCATGTAGTGGACAAGACAAGGGGGAATGGATTCAAGCTGAAATAGATTAGATTATATATTAGGAAGAATATCTTTACCATGAGGGTGTTCAGACACTGAACCTGAGAAGTTATGAATGCCCTGTCCCTGAATGTGTTCAAAGACCAGTTGGATGGAGCCCTGATCTACCTGGTGTAGTGAAAGGTGTCCAGCCTGTGGCAGGGTGGTTGGAACTAGATGATCTTTAAGGCCAACTTCCAGCCCAAGCCATTCTATGATTCCTTGTGTGGGTAAGCTGTCTGACTTTAGGGTAGTATTTTAAACTCCAGATAGACAATTTTTTTAATGCATAAAATATTTTATCTTTAGCATGTGATGCCAGCTGTGTAGGTTGCACAGGAGAAGGTTCTGAAAAATGTAAGACCTGCGCGTCTGGATACGGGAAGGAAGATGAGAAGTGTACAGGTTGGTGGATTTGGCAGTACCTGGTAAAATGCTGGTTAGCTCACTCGTGGTTAACCATGCTGAGGAGCTCATGGGTGCATTCACATTTGTGTGCTTCAGCTTTCATGCCTGTCAAAGTGAGCCCAGTTGTTCTGATATTAGCTGCAAAGACATTCTCAATAAATTACTTTATATTACTGAGCTGATATGCTTGACAAGACTTAAAGTGAATCACTGGTACAAAGGAACAAGGTATTTTATGGTAGCTTCAGGAAACAGCTACATGAGTCTTTGTCAGCTACTTAGCATTTCATCAGATCTGTGTTTCTATTCATTTTGTAGCAGAAAGGCAGGCATTGTGATAATCCATCAATGTCCAAGTTCAAATTATATTCATTCTTAGTGAATTAAAATGTGAAATTAGACTTCCTCTGTGGAAAAGAACAAGACATATGCATAATCTGAAGTAGCTATTAACTGTGATGATGTAGTATTTACAAGCTCTGTTCCCTTTAGCTATACTTTGATGGCATAAATAGAAAATGACTGTGGGGGAAATGTTCAGTAGGTTCAGACGAATTGCCTAATTGTGACAAATATAACTGCTTAATACATTTCTCTGTACAGGGACTTGCAAAACATTATAAAACAGCAGTACTGGGTGTTATCTGAGTAACTTTGAAACAGTCCAAATCATGAACAATTAGATTATTTTAACAGATGTTACATTTGTTGCAGCAGCATTCTCCTCAGTGTTTTTCATATTTGAATGGAGTTTGGTTTATATGACTGAGCACAAATAAGGTTTATAACAAAATAACAGCAGTGGACTCTCTTTCCCTGTGCTGTCTCTAGATATAGATGAATGTAGCCTTCCTGAAAAGGTCTGCACAGAAGAGAATCAAGACTGTGTTAATACGTCAGGTAGTTACAAGTGTGTATGTTCAGAAGGGTTTGAAGATAAGGATGGAGCATGTGTTCAAACTGTAAAATCAGGTAAGTAGCTTTTCAGGGGCAACTTAAAAAAATATGCTGTATCAACAACTTGGAGTTTTATGTAAGTCTAAGGGTCTAGTTACTTGTAAATCCCTCTATATTATTTCTCATCTTCACACAGCTGTGGTCTGTATCAATAGTTTATAGTGCAGGCCACACTCTGATGTGTGTTTTTTTGCCTAAAGATAGTTTATGTTTTTAAACATTCTGTTCTTGTATTGCTGTATTTTTGCTTAAGTCAAGGTTGTGTTTTTAAGTAACTTAAGAGTTTGGCTTTGTTACATAAAATGAGCTGGCAAATTTCTGATATCATAAAAATGAGCATGTCCTCCCCCCTTCTTTCCTTTATCATTAATTATAGTGACTTAAGGGTTTATCTGATTGCATGCAATCTTCAATTCATTGAAATCTCTGAAAATTACAAATTGAAAAAAGAATTACAAATTCTTTTTGCTGGATAAAAATGCTGAATTTGTTTATTTTGTGACCATGTAAGTGCCAGAGCTGGTGTTAAGATGAAAATGGGGAAGACATTCATCTGTCAGTCATAGGAAACTGTTCAGCTTCACTTAAATTATAACTTTGTCAAAAAAATTCAGCTATCATTTTTTCTAGGATGTGTTGAGCCATATGGACAGAACTACATACATTAAATGTTCCATTATTCCATCTAGGCCTCTTTTACAATTCCAAAGAGAAAGATGGGATTATTTTGCAGGAGTGGTAGGAGAATAGATGAGAGACTCCTGATTTCATACCTTTTCTTTCTACTTCTTAGCTTCTTTGGGTGTTTTTTTTACCCCCCCATTTCCATCCCCAAGGCTGATTTTTCATCTTGTACTAAAAAGGTGTAATGATGGATGTTGTATTGCTGCTCAAGGCCACTCAGTTCATTCCTTTTACTCTCAGTGCTCACCATTATTAGTCCTTTAGAATCTTCTCTAATACAGATGCGCAGGGTATGAGTTATTGCCTTTGTTAATGTGGTCTGACATTTTTAAACTAAAAGTAAAATAAAAGGTAGACTTAGGTTTTTTTGTTTAGATAATGCTTTTCTCAATATAATAAAATTGCTCTGCTTTTTTAAAAGTTGTTTTAACATTTGAACTGAGCAGTTTGTAGTATAAAAACAATTTTGAATAAGACTTGCCCTACTTTTTCAAATACCAAAACTGCTGCTGACAGGTTGTGTGGAAAGGAGGAAATTCACTGTGAATAGCTGAAAACAAAAGCCTAGAATAGAAGTGCCTGTGCTGATTTTTTTTTTCCTTCCACTAGTAGTATAATACCAATTTATTTGAAAAATTTTGTTTTCATATAGTAAAAAATATAAATACAGGCTTAGGTTAGGAGAATGGTGCAAATAGGTGTTATATATATATGACTTAATTGCTTCTCTGGTCTTGATAAATATGTTAATTTGGGTTTCTATTTAAAAAAAATCCTAATTTCCAAAATCAGAATTATATATATATAATTAATTATATATGTATAATTGATAGTAGATTTGTATTCTAACTGTGCTATTTAACTTCACAGGAGAGGAAGTAGAGAGTGAAACAACTGAGCCTTCACATACTGAACACGTTGACTTATGATCTGCATTCGGAACCAAAAGACATTCCTATCTAAAGTTATAAATTATTGGACTAAGCCTCTGCTAGCTGACATACTGTGGAAGTGGTATGAAATACACAGGTTGCCATTAAGATTTTTTTTTTAAATGGTGACAACCTGCTCTTTAAGCTGCATTTCTTTATTCTTAAATCCCACTTTTTATATAATTCTTCAAAAACAACACTCTAGATGAGTTAGCATAAAATTTGACTGAACATAACACTGTACCCAGCAACTGTAAACAACTTGCAGGCTTCTCATTCTAGTGCCTACTGAAAACTGTTATCTTCTGGAAGAATTTAGTTGCACTTCATAATTTAAGGAAAATTTAGACTGAAGTTTGTTGTTTCTAATCATGAGAAATATTTCTGTAATTGAAATACAGCTTTTGGAAATTGTCAAAGGGAATCTCTATGGGGGGGAGGGAAGCACTGTTCCCTTAAACAAAATAGAATGCCTAATATTGCATTCAATAAAAGTGTATTTTGTTGGAATGTGCCTTAAAATTTCTAAGATGTTAATACCTTGATGTGTTGTCATGCCTATTTTTCTTTTAAGTCAGTGAAAAAACACCAAAACCACAAAAGCAACCCAAGCAGCCCCCAAAAAAACAAAACCCCAGAACCCTGTAAACCATATTTCAGTTCAGCACTGAATTCAAACAGTTGTATTGGAATATATGTGAAATAAAAACCCCAACCCAACAACATCTCTCCTCTCACACACACTTTCCTCTAAAGGAAGAATTATGTCAACTTAACTTTTCAAAGGCAAGTAAACAGGTCTTTCTGACAGATATTTGCATCAACTATGTAAACTAGTTTAGAAGGTGATGGAAAGTGGGTTTGGCTAACACATGCCTGCAATGGCTCATAGTTACTGAGTGCTGTCTGGGATTGATGAATACAGGACTGAGTACAACCTGCTGCTGTGTGTAATGGCTTCCTGTCTGCTGCAGAGCAAGCATACTACAATAAATTTTTCGTCTTGTCTCTTGTGCCATTTCAGAGGGAAAGCTTATAAGCATAGCATAGACACAACTTACTATGTGTTGTCTCTAAGCCTAAAGGCAAGTATAAGAGCTAAAATGGATATATGCTGTAGGACTATTTTTATTTACAGTTGTAACTAAAATAAGGACCATCCGCAAACAGCCTCTGGTGGAAGTGAGTAAAATTTAGAATACATTGTGGTGGTGGATACAAGGGGTTGTAGAATACAGCTAAGAAGAGCACAGTTGACTTGGCTTGACTATGAAGAGGTTACAAACTCTGAGGTAAGGGGACATAAAAAGGCTATGAATAGGATTGACCTACTCTGTTGAGCAGTAAAGATCAGACATCTTCTATATACTTCTGAAGACTTTCATTCAAGCTAAGTCTCAGTTCAGTTAGTGAACAGTGCATGAAGGATTTGTATGTGAGATAGATAGATAGATTCACCTAGGTGAATATTGTACAAAATCTGATTCTGTTGGGTTCTTAGGTTAAAAGCTGTCTGAGCTGATCTTGTGCATGGTAGTTTAAATACCTAGTGGTATTAAAGTGTCTGTAACAGTTTTCTTTAACTGTTTTATCTAGATGTTTCTAAACTTCCCAGTCAGAGTATGAAATCTTCAGTGCTTTCTCAGCTGTAATTGTCTAAGATGGGCCTATTTGCTACAAAATCTTGCAACTTGAAGGGTAGGCATTGTATTTAATGAGTAGTAAATCAAAGGGAGGAAAAAGTAGGCAGTTTGGGAAGCACATGGAATACAACTCAGGATCTTTAGGGAGTTTTAGTACAGGTATAGCCAGTTACAGTAGTATTAGGTCCTAAGGATCCTGCAGGAGTGTAGCTTCTCTGTGTTACTCACTCATATTTAACTCCCAGGTGTTGCAGGTTGTGGTATGAATGGTCGTTAATCATAACAGGAAATGCTGGGTTAGAAACTACCATCAGCTCATACTCAAAGCAATTGTCTGTCCAGTGCAAACTCTTCTATTGGTGTCCCAAGCCTGAAATAATGCTTCCCTATGAAGAACTTGCTACTCTTAAATACCTTTCAACTTACTTGGGGCTCTGGGGGATACCTGATGAGGTTCTTAACTACATTGTGGAAGCATTTGCTTCCCACCTGCCAAAGCTTTGGATAGAAAGCCTTAACTAAATTGTCTAAGTTAAGCCCAACTCTGAGATGAACTGATAAAAACCAAAAATTTTGTTTTTCTGTGGTGATGAAGAGGAGAAATTCTTCCTTGCCTGACCTGCAAAAGTAATAAGTAGTCTGATTTTCAGTTCTGGAGAAAAATGCTTGCAGCTTTCCATTACCACAGTAGGACCATCAATCAGAGTGTTGTTCCCTAGAAAACATAGAGATGTAGTACCTGGATATTAGGAGTCACTAATATTCTATTTTCCTCAATTCTCCCATTCTCCTGCCATCAAATATAGGCACATATTGCTCTGCATTAAATTATTGTGGAGTCCAGAAAGGTGAATTCAACTATTGAGAGCTTCCACTGAAGGAATATAGGCCAAGGTATGTATGTGATAAATATTTAGTACTATGCTGCTGTCTTCTGCCCTCTTGATGCTGAGTTTTGAAAGAGTTAGTTCCCTTGTTTTGTTCTGTATTCTCCTTTTACTTCTTCAGACTGTAATTACTGCTCCATTTTAGAAGTTGAAACAAAAAATTTTTTTGACTGAACTTCAATCTTTTTTTCCCCTCTGCCTTGAATACTGCAGGGATTGGATTCTGAGTTGTCTTGGGTTTTGCCCTTCATAATCAATGGAGGGGGTGGAAGAGTGGGATTTGAACTGATTAGCAGAAACTGGCCATGAAGGTAAAGTGCATTTTGTTAACCAAGCCAGTCTAGACTACCAGTGCTTTCTTCTGTATTTGTTAATATTTTGGTGCTGAAAGAAAGCTGTTTCCATTAAATTTTTCATTGCATTGTAAGGACATCTGGTTATGTCATACAAGACTTTGGACTTAGGGATGTCTGGAAGTAGAGGTCTCATGTCCAGCTATACAAGTATGCTGGTAAATACTTCAGAAGTGATCTGAGATAATCCAACAAACAAGATTTGTGCCTGCCTCAGTGAAGTGTGGGTTAGGTACTTCTGTCATGAGTACCAAAGTGAACTTCTAGACCCTCACCTATGATTTATTTTGTAAACTTCTACTGTGCTATCAAACTGGAAGCAGCATCCCTTTTCCTAAATTGTTTTGCTACTACTTTGGAGTTTCTTGACCTAAAACTAAGTGGCTTTTTGCCATGGGAAGTAGTACTCAATAGTGTATCTAGGCACTTGAAAGGACAAGATTCTCTTGTCTGTGATAGCTGGACTCCACAGAAGGTCCAGAAACACTTTCCAGGAGCAAGCAAACTTAGAGATCTTCATGTTCCAATTAAGGCTCTAAATAAGACCAGGAAAGCAGTCTCAAGTATACAACAATCCTGCAGTGCCTAAACTTGGAAGTCAAGGTATGTGCTGAAATGTTTTCAGCTGAACATTAGTACATAATACTGAATATTTTCTTTGATGTGAATTCCCAGCATATCTGTAATAGACACTGAGTTCTCTTCAAGTGTAATACTATCCATTCCTAAATATGGCAAATGAATTCTCTTTTGCAGAATGCCTTGATGACTTAGGTAATTCAGGCAGTCAGAGATCACCTGGAAGGGTTCAAATCATAATCGTCTTTCTCAAGAAAGGTGCCAAAGTCTGTGAGTTATATACAAGACCAGGACACAGGTGACTGTAAAATATATGGGATATACTGTATAAACAGAGGACCTTTTATGGATAATGATAACTGATCATACATCATCCTAACATGTATTGGAGAGGTACTACTCAGTCAGGCAGTTGTCAGTTGAAGAGTCAAACTGACATTTGCAACTTCCAAAATACCAAGAATGTGAAAATCACCAAATCATACTTCTAGCATAAAGTTCTTGGTGTATATGGGACTATGTGGATATATGGAGACAATTCTCCCTGATAAACAGTGCACCCTGCCCCTCAGGTTACTTTCAGACCATTCTTAATATTGCACAGTTAGGCACACAAATAATTCAAATTTGCCTTAACGAGTGACCAACTGAAAAAAACGTGTCGAGAGAAAAATAAACAACAAAACCCCCAGCAACAAAATAAAAGCCTTAAAAAATCCAAGAAGTCTTGGATCGTATGCAGAAATAATATAGAGGACAGTTGTCCATAATGGTCCTAGCTGACCTCCTGATACCCCTCCCTGCCCTCTGTCTGTCAGACTGCTATGGATTGTTGCCTAAGACTGTATTTTATCTGTTCTGAAAGGAATCTAATGAAATTGTTCAAAGCAACTGCCTGTGCTTTTCTTTTCCCTTTTCCATGCATCAAAATGGAATTTTTCTCATCCCTTTCAGCAGCTTCACACCTTGTCTAATTTCATGGCTTCATTTGCTGCAGGCATACCTATAGCTACCCTTAATACTCTTCAAGTTCCTCGCTGGTTCTTCTCCAAGCAGGCTTTGGCTTTCTTGATTCCATTCCTTCATGCTAAGGCAGTGGCTCTGTATTCCTTCTGGGTTGTCGCAGACATCCTTTTCACTAAAAGTCCTTTCTTTAGGATTTTCCCTTCTAGGAAGCTGAAGCCCCAGAAAAAGAATGTAAACAATAGTTATCTGCTGCTGTGGAATGCAACAGGTGCATCTGTGATTGGCCCATCTTAGATGTTTACAATTAATAGCCAATCAAGGACTGAGCTCTCTCGAACAGAGTCGGAGAGAGCTCCTTTGTTATTCATTCGTTTCTATTCTATTCTTAGCTTAGCTAACCTTCTGAAAACTTTTCCTTCTATTTCTTTTTAGTATAGTTATAATGTAGTATATATAAAATAAAATAATAAATCAAGCCTTCTGATCATAGAATCAACATTCTCGTCTCTCTCATCCTGCAAACCCTTGTGACCATGGTCACACTGGGTCACTTGCCACTGTTTCCACCTTGTGTGTTCCTTTTTATGGCTTTAGTCAGGAGCTCATTGTTCATTCTTGTCAGCTTGTCAGCTTCCTGCCACCTTTGCTTGATTTCCCACACATCAGGATTAGGGAAAGTGATCACTGAAAATCAGCCAACTGCCTTGGACTCTTCTGTCTAGGGCTGTCTGCTTAGCTTTCCTCTCATACTGATGCCTGAACTGCCCAGGTCTACCATTCTGATATAAAGGGTTATGGTAAAGCAGTCTTGCTACTGCTTTGAAGGCAAAATAGTACTTGATTACATTTCTTGATCTACTGCTGAGGTAAAAATATTGTCTATCCACTTAGTGGTGCTTTTTTGTTGAATCCAGCCCTTCTTATTGAGTCTTAGTCAGTGGGGTGACTGTAGGCTCTTTGGGACTAAGGGTTATCTTTTTTTATGTTAGAGATATGCCCTATCTTGTCCCCCAGTTTGCATCACAGCATTTGATGTGTAGGATTCACATCTAGCACTGCATCCACCAGTGCAGAAACTGCATGAGCAGTAGCTGGAAAGTTGTGCAGCTAGAAAAAT